TTTATTATGTATTAACCTAGTATAGAAAATATTTAAGTCTCGTAAAAGTTCATGAAACTAAAATGTGTCACATCTGCGACATAATCTATGATCCGTGGAGACTCGCATTTAGATAATAGAGGATAGTGTCGGAACTTTGTCGGTGTATATTGTAACGCTGTCGCACTTTGAAGTGCATAATGACGAACATTACAAAACATTGTTCGATTGTGATACAGCTCGTGATTTAATGGCTCGCTGTTTAATCTCGATAATGCATTCTAGTACTGTGTATTTATTAAATATATTGTATGAATGGAAAATTCATTTTCTATTTTCATTTTATTGTCTGCACGAAATTCATTAGAATTATTACAAATATAAATTCTACGTTAGATATTAAATTGGTTATAATATTTGATAGAATAATTTTTTATATTTATTTCCAATGATTGATTAAAAATTGATTTGTTTGTTATAATCTCATTAGCTTTCCATTGTTATCATGATTTTGATGGGTTTCCAAGATTATTAAAGATGAATGATCAAGATATAAATTATCCCTGAATAGGCTTTAATATTTTCAATGAATCTAAAACTAAAGGTCAATAACCTCTAGCGGTCGTTGTCATTAATTAGCGACTCCATCAAGCACTCTCTTTGTCCTCGCTTCAGTATGCTTTTTGAGCTCGCTTCCTGAATAATTACGTTGAATTTTTAATATTTTTTTTTTATCTGCTTCCCATGTTTACTATGTTTCAGCTATAGAATTAAAATTTTAATATATATTTGTATGTTAATGTTACAGTAGAGTAAAGAATTGGAATTCAAAATAAAATTTTATGAATACAAATGTGTTTATAACATTTTTACCCAGTGATTAATTTATCTTTTCTATTTGTTTCTTCTAATTAAAAACTGATTTTAATTATCATATTTTTTCTTCATTTAAACGTAATTACCCAATATATGTACATTTCATTTAAACCCCTATTTCTGTAATAATCGTTTATGAATACAAAAAATCCCAATATATCTCGTAAGTCTAGTTTTTATTCCAAACTTCACACGCGATGACAAATGTCTTACGTATTCAATTACTATTCGTTGTTATTAAAAAAGGAACAAATAAGACAAGATCAGACGAAGATGAAACAGAAAGCTGATGAGATTGCTAGCGGTTTTTATTAATATTAGAAATATAATAACATCTTTTCAAATACAAGTAAAACTGCTTATCTTATAAATATTGTTGTTGTTATCCGTATAATCAATCATGTTCTCGCCGGGGATTCCATGTTAGTTGCCAAGAAGTAGAATAAATTCACACTTTCAGAGAGTTAAATATATTTTATAGTTACTGAATATTTTATTATTCAATGTTATTTTGCCACAATTCTTTGTATGGTAGATAAATTATAGGAATAGACCGGTGATGGTCTCCGAGATGGATTAAGTGTGTAGGTTGGAAGTGAAGACTTTTCTGTTAGTTCTTTCATTATTTTTTCTCATATACATGGCAAGAATTAAATCTGTTATACTGAAATGTATAACTTCTATAAAAGATAACTTTGTCTAAAAATTATTTGATTACTTATAAAAAATTTATGATACATTTGACTGATATTAACGAAAGAATCTTATTTGATAATAAACATTACTTGTCATCAATAAAATATATTTTATTCTTCTAAAAACGAATTGTAGAAAAACGAGTCAGTTTAATTTATGTCACAGAACAAAACGAAGTGTAAATTTTTCTACTTATACTTTTCTTAGTAATTATGTTATTCCATTTGCCACTTACAATCAAAGTATTACAAATAAAATCTGTATAACTATATAATTTTAACTATGGATATTTTTTTTACAAATTTTAAAATAAATTACGGTTTCTTAATTATCTTTGTTATTTTTAAAATGTAGCCTTCAGGGATATTATGATAACGACGAAGCTTAAGTTAGCTTCCAATTTGTGTCTGTTTTTAATCCGCCCGGTGTCTCACAGAATACTTTAAGCCTCTGGTTACAGTCATCGCTGCTAACTATGTAAGGACAATATAATGCTATGACAATATAAACAAACAAACATAATCACACAGTGTTATAACCATGTTACATGAAGAAAAGATTACAATCCTGTTTATTCCATTTATAAAAACGGATAACACCATAAATGTTCCTTAGAATCAGAAAGGCCATAAACAATAGTCCCTTAAAAATTTTACAACCGAAACGTGCATAAAACTCGAGCAATAAATAGTAATAGTCCATTAGCCCACAGTCCGCAGTCCATAGTCCATAGTATCAGTGTTCTGGTATGTGTACAGCGGGCTCATAAAACAACAGTTAAACTTAATGCAGAGCGTGTAGCCGCGAGACAAACGACGCGTCGCGACGCACGACACGGAACGGCTCTCAGTGTCCACCTCTAATTGTGTCCTCAATTTAAACAAATATAACTACTATTTTAAGCTATTTTAGATATGTATTTATTGGAATAACTTCTTTTAAATTGAACAAATGTTCGATTAAAAGCTATTTATTTACATAATTTTTATTCTGGACCAACTTCAATATGTAATTCAAAACATCTCTCATTAAAGCCAGGTAGCACAAGATAAGTCTTGTTTGATGGTCAAAATCAGATTGTAAAACATTATTCACAATTTTTTATAATAACTTATTACAACTGAAATAAGAACCTTCAGTTATTTTATTTCTATAAATAAAACTATGTTTTGCTGTATTATTTTGCGTATAATTGTGATATATTTTATCCAACTTTTCAGCTTTTTTTCAGTAACTTCGTGTATATAAAACCGAGAAGAAAGTGTCTGCCAGTCAGACTTGTTTTGTTGTCGTCTACGTACATAAGTAAATTAAGAAACCGTTGGATTTCTTTACTTTCTCGCGTCTCTTGGGGGTTTATAGTCTGATAATGGACATGGGATTTTATATTTTAAGTGAGTATATCTCAGGTATTAGAATTAGATGATTATCAGCGTTATTCTCAATTGAAATAAGAATATTTTCGATAGCTCCACCAATAATCTCATTATATATCCGCACTTTTGTTTCTTAAAATGGATTGAATGGATTGGCCTGTTCAAAGTTCAAATTATAAAAATATATTTTTTTATGTAAGAGATAATATTTTCTTCAACTTTTATACCGATGCTCTTCTTTCCGTTTGTATGTATTTTTTTAATAAGCTTGCCTCATTGCTTGTCAAAATCTACACAGCCTCTTCATTCATTTTATTACGGAACACAAATCTTTTTTCAGATAGCTTTGCACTCCCCATTTTTATAATGATGCTTTCTTTTAACAAGGTATTATTATTTCGTACTTTTTAAGTCTAAAAATAATTAATGATAAAACGTTGAAATTATTTGTGTACTGAATTTATAGAAAAATATTTGTGGTGAAATTTATGGTTGGTTGGTTTTTTTAAATATGGCCTGTAAATATGTACACAGTATAGTGGTGACAATTATACATACTAAGCAAATATAGACTTATAAATAATGTCTTTTTGACAACAGTAAACGTTTAATGTTATTCGTGAATATGCATAGCTCCTGGGAGAAACAGATAATATATTGCCATCGTTAGTACTGGGATAACAAAGCGGAGCTATTTTAATGACGCCGCATATATAACATATTATAAATCAAATGTCCCCTAAAACAATGCCTTTCTTTTCCACAAGCATTTCAAATGTAAAGATTTTATTAAAATTATAATCAAAATTAATTTTATATGGAGTACATAAATAATAATAGTCTTAAATAAATTAAAAGCATGTGTTAATTTTATTTTAATTTAGCTGATCAAATTAATAATTTTTTTTTCGTTTACATCGTGTTTATAATTGTATACATGACGGATAAACGAAACGCTATCTTTGACAAGGATTGTTCGCGCTCGGTGTTCACTTGTACTTGTAAAAGAACGCGTGACAGGGCGTCGCAGTTGTCTCCTATTCAGACGACAGCCCGTACATTGTCCCCTTTGCGATTTAAACAAAAAGGATTTAATGTCTATTGTAGTTGTCTCCTTTTTACATTTAAAAAATGATTCTGCAGAATATTTTTAGCACTTATGCCAGACGATATTAACTGCTATCTCAGAACATATAATATACCATAAAAAAGATCTTTTTATTTTCTTTTTAAGTTCTTTTGTTTAAAATATTAATGTTTCTTATTAAACTTTATTACAATTACAAATTTAAGGAACAAAGAAGTCTTTTTTTTATATAATATAAAGTGAATTGCATGTTCCATTTATTCTTTTCTAAGTAAAGATATAATATAAATTATAAAATAAATCTAATAATTATTTTTCGATATCGGATTTATGTTCTTCTTGGAAATTTTGTAGAATACTAAGCAATTTATTATATAAATATTTTATTTATCCAACTCTTTTTAATAGTTGTAAAGTAGTATTAATAAAATTTCATTGTAAAGACACTTATTTAGAATATTATTCAAGAAAAATTACATAGTTTTTTAAACAAATATCGGTTAGAATATCAGTAAATATACAAAGACGGTATAATATTAAAATTAAGAATAACATAGAAATTTGCGACAAAATTTAGCTTGTTCCGGGTGAAAAATTTGTATCGGAAATTGAATTTCTGTTATAAAACAATTTTTACCCAATTTGTGGACAATCACAAAAAATAATTTTATAAAAGTCATCTTTTAAATACATAAAGTTATTCTAAAAACAACTTCTAAATAAAATATTTTCAAATAATATTCGCAGTTATTTATTTATTATTTTACACCGAAAAAGAAATATGTTTGAAATAAATGGTTAACTAATTTGAAAATTTATTTGATATTTCAAGATATTTATTTAGTATGCAATAGGTTGTATATTTTTATTATTTTTTTGCATAAACTTTTGCTCCAAATTCTAAAAGTATCCATCATAATAAGCTAGTTCCGTACTGAATATCTCAAAGTGGGTCAAAGTCGTACTGTCTAGCTTGATCTTCCGTAATGTTGCTAACTCGCCGCGCAATAAGCGCAGACCCCTTACATCCGGCTGTGATAACAGCTGTAGTAGGGAGGAGTGGGTGGTCTTCCGTCACCTCGTTTGAGAGCGTAATGTCACGCAAAGAGCAGCCAGATTGGCAAGGGAAACTCAAGATTTCATTCCCCCACGATAACAGTACCGGACGCTCGAGGGCGCTAGCGCAACCTTCAACATCTAAGCCTAAAACGATAGAAAATATAATACTGACAGACTGTAAATGATGTTTCATCTTATAATGACATAACAGAGACCATTGGGTTGGTTTATCACCAAAACAGGCTCTTCAAAGGGGAATCCTATGTACTTTTGATTGTTAGTTTAGGAATCAGTTAATAAAAAAAAATCTCAGCTCTGACCAAAGCTACGGCTGATACTATAATAAAAATGATCAAAATCGTGAATCAAGGTATAAGCTTTTTAAGCAGTATTTGTATATTCTAGATCGAAACATGTGAAATAAAATAAAGTTATTTTGCGGATTTTGTTCCATGGAAAGAGTCACATTTTTTATTTCATATCAAACTTTGTGTATAGAATATAAAACAATTATAAAATTAAAAATCTAAATTATTTGCGGCAAATATTGGGAAGGCGTCCATACCATGTCTTGAACTTAAATAAGAATATATATTTTTTTGTTACTTGTCTTACATAAAAGAAACACACTCAATTTGTTATATACTATTAACTTGGACAAAAAAAAATTATAAATAGTTTTCTTGGTAAATAATAATATTTTATACAATCCACATATGCTAATGATAATATAACAGCTTTAATCGCAGTCTCTGTTAAATATTGTGAAAACTTAATGACGAGTTGGAGATATGCTGACGACATTGTAAACCGACACGATCTTGATGATTTATTTGTGTGAATTGCTTGCATTTGCTAATTGTAACTCTAAAATGTTACTGTTACATAATGTGTGTATTTAATGTAATAATTTTTTATATAAAGATTTAGCATACAATTAGTAGTTTTGTTTCCATAATTTTTGCTTTAATGTAGATACATATACGTACTATTGTATCGGCCGTTTTCCATTTGTTATATTGTGTACGTGATAATTGCTTTGAAATATTCTCTTTTTTTAATAAATAAATAAATATTCTGAAAACGAAGGGTTACTTCGCAAAATTGCTAACGTTATATCAGTTTGCTTTAAGGTTTTAAACGAAACCGCATGAGAACCGGCCATTGAAATACGTGTAGTCTGGCAGTGAAACTGTTATTAAAGGCTGCAAGGTTCACAAAAGACCTTTCATCATCGAAACAAGCATAGGAGCTGGCGAACAATATCAACTACTGTTACAATATTCAAAACGAATTCCAATATTCGACTGTGATACAGGAAATATTTATATTTTTACATTTAGTGAAAAATATTTACATGTTCGAATTATCTTTATAACAATGAATTTCCTTCAGTATATGTGTTTTTGCATAGTCTTTTATTAATATTTAACTAAAATTTAAGTGGAACAAGTAAACACTATACAACATACAATTACGTAATAACAAAGAGCATGCTGGCATTTATAATTTTATAGATTCACAATTTATTAAAAGGTTACCCAAAGATATGTTTTAATTAGGTACCATCTGTATTATAATATATGTTATTATATATAAAGGAAAGATAATTACTAGCTATACAGAAACTCAAGCTGAATAATCAAGTGAGAACAAAGGAAGTGGACAATTGAGACGCAAATTAACTTCATCATACCAATTATAGTAGAACTGTAAAAGCTTTATTATTGGCTTTATTAAGGATTCTTTTAGATGAGTCCTGTGTGCATTCACATTTTATATAATGAACTAATGTTAAATGTTACGTTATTCCCTGTTTGAGTAACTTAACGAATTGTAAACTAGTAGAAGGGGAGAAAAAATGTATTTTTATTATAATTTTTATCGTGAGAAATCATAAAATGTTAAATACTTTTACCTTTTAAATTACTTATGTAGGTACATTTTTAATACGGAAAAGCTTATATAAGATTTTCATTTGGGATATACTCGATGTATCTTTATGGATCAACTGTTTTAGCCAGATTTCCGCTCTTGGAATCCTTAGCGGAAGTGAATGTGAACTGTGCTTAGACAGTCACTTTACAAAGGGACGGAAGCTGCTGGGATGACGTGATAGAAGTTGTGAGAGGACTGTGTTCAGCGAAGTCGAACTATAATGGAGCATGTTATAGAGATGTATGTATACGTGAATATGTTAATCAATATTAATAAAGACCTATTTTACTTCATTGAAAGTAAATATAGAAGTGGATACGTTTAATTTGAAATAAAATATTTAAGGATCTGTTTTAGGTAAAATTCAAGCTTCAATAGATGCTATGTTTTACATGCTAACTTTCTATGGTAGTCGAGTAGATGTCACTAAAAAGTAATCTGTTAAAGTTATGTACCTGTTATGAGAAGCAACACTTGAATAACTTTGGAATGATAGAAAAGCAGTTCATAGCTTTGGCATCACGATGATACAGCTGCTCACTCGTTAGCTTGTGAGAGAGTTTTTGGCTTGAAACACCACCTTAGTCATGGCTTTCCCACCCTACCAACCTGATTTGGTCTCCTAAGATTCCTCCTCATTTTCCGGTTTTGTTGTGTATCACATTTAAGAGGGATAATTTTTACGGGGAAAACATGAATGCAATAAAAAAATGCGTGCGTACAAAGTACACATATCAGAAGTGAAACTTCTTTGCATTGTGCGTGATACGCGTTCGCTCTATCTCACTATTTCTCTCAATCTTTCTTACTCGCTTGCTACCTACTCTCATATATTATTTTATAGCACAAGCATTGACTGGATAAAATTCGTCTGTAACCCCTCATTTTGTTACCATTTGGAAGCTAACATGTGAGTGTGGATTCCTTGCAAACTGATAGGAGGTGCGATGAAATTAGCCTTTTGCATTTTCGGTTTATTCAACACACAGAGGGAAGTAATATTTATTTTTCTTAAAATTACTATATGTAATGTAATGAATAGTTAAATACTGTCTACAAAGATAGGATCAAAACAATTGCCTTAGCTCATTTTCAATGAATACTTAAAATCCAAATTCGTGTCCGAATGCACTAGAGATAAGGTAGTTTTCACATTTGACAGTGCTTTACGAATAATGCTCTATTATGTCCAATACCTATAGTGTTCTTTGTCATTTATTTTAATAATTTATGAAAACGAATTGTCAAACTAAATACAGAGATTTAAATAAGTTGATCTGATATAAACAACGTATTCAATCAAGCATTATTTTTAAATCCATGACCATGGAGTAACATGAAAATAAATACTACGTTATTTATACATAATTTATATGAGGCAATGTAAAAGATTCACTAAGAGGCTTTCATCTCTGAAGCGAACGGAAGTACTGCCAAATAAAATGTCTGAATACAAAAAAGCAGATAAGCGTTTCATCTGCTTAACGTGCAGTATAAAGAATTATAAAAGGAATAAGTTCCTGCTTTTAGGACGCGTCTTATCATGTGATGTTGTATTTAGAAATCTTTTTTGTTCGTACAATAAAGTTGTATAAGAATACATAGGTAAATAAAAGACAAACAAATTAGTCTTTTAAAACTTATCAATATTAATTTATTACGTACTTTAGTAAGTTAATGACTGACGAATTGAAATTTAAATACACTCTACGAGAATTATTTGCAGTCAACACAATTTTTATTAACAAGCAATATTTTACTTCAAGGCGTTTAAGTTTTCAATATTTGCTAAAAATGTTAAAAAGTTGCAACGTCAACTTTTATATAATAGCCATGAGACAGAATAAAAAAAACCTTTTAATTTATACCGACGAGAATAAAAATAATATCAAATCGGGACAAAAGGAGTGTTTGATGTAGTCGCTAATTAAAGTCAACGAACGACCAGCCAGTATTGACCCTCAACTTTTGGTACTTAAGAAATACTAGAGCTTTTTTGGCCTAAATCAATCCAATATTTATCAATTATAAATAATGCATACATATATACATTTAATATCTCTTATTTCATTTTAAATTATGCAATATACATTATGTGTATAGGTTCTATCAAACCTTTGCTATAACTATTTCTGCTACTTTGCACCTTACTGTGCAGAAAATAAGAGTCTTCTGTTTTGGGCAGTCTGTATATATGAGGCTATTTTAATATTAACTTAGGTAATTTGAAATAGTTATTGATCTGGATAAGTACATATATCACTGGGTGTAATTACTTAATATTTGTCTAGGTTTGTCTTATCAAAACAAATAATGTAAAAACGTATTAAGTTCATAAAAGGGTGAAAAACAAGAGTATGACTTAAACCATTAATACTCAGTACCACTAATTGAGTCCAAATATTTTAATTTATTTATTTGTTTTAGCTTTGCCTCTATAAAACAAGATCTATACGCCTCATAAATGTGAACAGCTTTATTGCTCTTCAGTTAACTAAAAAATTATTCACATAAAATTTTATAGTAAGAGTCAATAAAAAAATATATTCTCGATACCATTTTTTGTTAGAATGAATTCGGATTTCGCAACATGAAAAAATCATAAAATACACACACAATTAAATTTACATCAAAAATTGCAGTGTCAATAACTCGCATGTGAGCAATCGATGATAAACGCAAACATACCGGTTCGAGCTTTATTTCAATTTCAATTACTGATATTTACATGACTGTTGGTATTCAGGTACATGTGTGAACAACTGTGAATATAATAATATTATAATTGATTCATACGATGCTTTATAACAATCCTTTCGGTTACATTAGCAGATTATGTCAGTACAATCTTAAGAAGCGTGATTATTTTGATTCAATTTGATACATAACATAATGAGTTTTACATTTTATTTGTAATTATTTCTTATTTCGTTTATTTTTGTATATTAACAATAAGTGATATTTTTTGTCGTATTAAAATATTACTTACTATCACAACTTTAAATTAAGGCATTTTTACTTATACTTAATCCGTCAATAACACATTAATTATAGTTACAACAAATAACTTTAGATCTCTATTAAAATTATTTGTTTTTAACATATCTATAAAGGTATGATAAATAATATTATATCAAGACCAAATGGCAGAAATTTTCTTAAGGTGTAACTGAAATTAATAATTATAAATATAGAAACAAAAGAAACGAGTTATATCAGAAAACGATAGTTTTATTTAA